GTGCCATCAGTGGTGAGAATTGATTGCGTGATCCTTTGAAGTCATTGAGCACGCCGTAGGAAAGAATGCAGAATATGTTTTCATCGCGTTACAAAATGGAGCGTTGAGGTTATCAAGAGGGACCGATTTTGGCCAGTCTCCATCACAAGCTCTGTTCTATTTAAAAACCTTTCAGTAGCATATGGAGGCCAGAATTTGAACCATTTCTTGAAAATATTTAATTTGTGAAAGACAGAAATATCCTGCTTAAAAATATTAAAGATGTGTTGTCTGATTTAGTGTAGATCCGGCTGGAAAAGTAATAGATTGCAATACAGGGATAAGCTACAAACAGCAGGTAAGATTCTTTCTACTTGTTTGAGTGTGCGCATGTATCTGTCTGCAACTTCTGTGTGTTAGATTGGTCCAGTCTCTGAGATCTACCGTGACAGTGAAAAACTCCAGCAGATGAAACACATTAAAGAGGCTGAAGGAATCCATAAAACACAATCTCGTTTTTACTCGGCTCCAAAAAGCCACTGGGGGAAAGGGAGGAGAAGAAAGGAGGGGGTGGTTTAAGATTTACAGTCCACCCCAGACGGCGACTGCCTCCCCTGCACAGCTGCACCGTTGCCCCAGGCCAGTGTGGCCTATTAGAATGATCTGCCCTTTAAGTTTTCACCACTCTCCTCAAGATAACACTGGAGGGAGGGAGCAAGACTTTCAAACATTTGGAAATGCTCCGCTGAGAGTCCCTGTAGGAGCTAACTACCAGCTATGTTCTCAGACACAATGGCCATTTTGTTTCGCTGGCCTTCTCCAGTATCAAAACGGGAAGCTGCACAAATGGACAAATGAGCAGACAGAGGGAGGCCAGTTGTCCCAAGGCCGGCGTTCATTACACAAACAGTAACACTGTTTGCAACAATATATTCTCAAAATCTAGACATAGAAAGACCCTTGATTAAAAACCAAACAAACAGTGGATGGTCTGATGAAATCTTGATTCTTTACATTTGTGAGAGCAAACAAGTTTTTTTTTTTTTTTTTTAGCTGTCAGATATCCCAGAGCTGTCTCCATTTATTTAACATGGGGGTGCTAACCCTGGCTAGGACTGCTCTGATGCTCATGCTGCCAAAAGTCTCCTCCAAAACAGCTGCAGCCTCCTCTGCCATCAGGAAGTCACACTCAATTACCAAAGGTATAAGTTCACTCGCCTGTTGGTTTTATGTGGAAACCTGAAATCATAAGGTTGTACTTAACTACTTATAATGGCCGGAAGACAGAAGTTAATTGGATCTGTATCCTACTGGAATGTGAGCCCTGCTCTGTGAACATACTGTAACACACCTCCTGTCTCCTTTTTGCATAATGCATCTGGTACAAAAGGTAATACATTGCCGGCTTTAACTGGCACACTCCCTGTCGTTTTTACCTTGGTGCTGAAACAAAACAAAACAAAACAGTGCAGTAATTTTTTTTTTTGAAATGTCATTTTGTCTAGAATTTCTCAATGGAGGGTTTGTTCAGGGAAAGTTTGCTCATTTAATCCAAATTGAGTGCTGAAAATGAGTGACGTGTTCTGAGCTAATATAATCCAGTGTTAGTAAATCTAATATAATCCTGTATTAATCCAGTGTTAGTAAATTTCAGCTTTTCAACAGCTCGGCTTGTAAATCCAAGCATTTATTTGCACATATAGCATAGCTGCTCGGCTCAGTGAGACTTAGTGAATGAACTATGGCTCGCTCCACCCTTTAAAGGCTGTGGTTCTGGTTACTGTAAGGACCTTGTGCTGGCATGTTGTATGTGTGCAAGCTTTGTTGTGGCACTGCAGCCTGAGTTTTGGTTCTAGTAGGATTTGGCTAGGAGTTCAATAGTGTGCTGTAGCTGGTGATGTTTGCTTTTAAACTATTGTATCCCTGTTGTTTCATCTTAAAACATCACCTATTGTGGGCTGGGATGAATAGCCTGTATTCATGGGAACATTTAACAAAATGTCCCACTGATGTAAGGCCAACTGTTAGAAGAGGTAAAAGAAAGGAAAGGTGCTTACAGTGAGGCTCATAAGGAGGCGGAGGGTCCCCACAAGGTATACACTCCATGTCTTGGAAACCACTTAATTTTGTCTTCCTGTAATATCTGGTGAAGACACAAAATTACATGTTTTAACCTTCAGAGCTTTCAAGAACACATGAGCAGCAAACATGCACAAATTCAGTTCATAGTGTTACACATTAAAGCTGTGTTGGTGTCTGTCCTCTCACCCGGGCAGACACTCGCCACACACGGCGTTGCTGGTGGTGGAACAGTTGCCCTTCTGGAAGCGGTTGATGAGTCCACAGTCCAGGCAAGGCTTGCACTTCTGTAGGCTCCGGTCCTCCTTGAAGCGACTGCTCCGGCAGGGCACGCACCGGGCATCCTCTCCATAACCAAAGCCACATTCCTGGGGGGATTAACGAGAGAAATACACCGGGTAAGAGGTGGGGTCGGTGGTTTGGGGAGATGTGCAGCTGGTGAAAAGAGGGTTTGAATGTGGGCTACCGGGGGTCTGGAATTAAAGAATGATCTTGGCTCGTGGGATCAGAGGAGAACAATGGTCTGCCTCTTTTGAGAGTCCATCTTACACTGGCAATAATCTCCCTGACTCTCTCAGTATGAATGAGCTGCCTTCCGCTGCAAGACCCAGAAAGGCCAGGCATTTGAATAATAAAGGCCCTGAGGGACACCCACTGTTGTATTATTGCAAGTTTATTGCTTCGTTTTTGTGTGACTCCCTCTCCAAGCAGACTCAGTGAGTGTCCCGTTGATTGAGAGGCCAGCAAGCAAAGGAAACGCTTCAGGAAGAGGGCAAGGATTAGGGAGCGGTATATGGAGAAAATAAGATGAATACTCTTTTTGTGTTCAACAATTGGAAGTGCACTTAAAAAGCACAGCTTCCTACTACTGTGTGACTGATCTAATGCTGAACCACCTTTTGAGGATCTGTTCACCTGAACCAAGCAAAATGTAGATTATTAAAGACATTTTTGTATTTTTAAGAAGGACATAAAGTAGATAGACAGAATATATATGACACAGAGAAGAGATAAAGTGTGTATATTGTTTGGTTGTAAGAGTTATATCTATTTCAGAGGCAGATTAACTATTTTTCAGATTTAACATTGTTTTCCTTATTCTGTACAACAACTGGTAATATAGAAACAATCAAGTCAACAATCAAGGTAACATTTCTGGTGAGAGAAACCCAAACACTAAATTAGCCACACATGCATTACTCTGGCTGCTCATTTCCATCTGGCAGTGTTAGTCTTGTTTTGTCTCTTTACAGACTCCCTAAAAATGATTTGACCTCGATGACAAACTGACATTTAGATGACAGCTGATATTACTGTACACCACACTGAGTGAAAAGACCCTGCAGGGATGACATCATTCATTGATAATTCATTATCAGCTTCGTAGCAGCTGCCCTCCTGTTGTCCAGTGTTGCCACACTGCAATCCAAAGCCAGGAGCATAGACAGGGGGAGTGGGAGAGTGCTCATATATCATTAAAGTGAAGGCCAGCTTCAAACAGGGCTTCTCTCTTCTCTTCTCTCCTCGCCCGTGTCCCATTTCACTGCCCGGGCATGTAGTCCTGCTGGAATGTGGGCACAAGAGTCTGATATGGGGGTTGGGTTTGGGGAAGCAGGCTGGCGAGAAATGAAACAGGCGGTTAGAAGCAAGGATGTGATCGTGTGATGGCACCGCAGAGTCGGGACAGAAGATGAGGATTTCAGGCCTTCCAGCCAAACACATGTGAGGCTGACATTGAACCCTTGGGCCAGGCCTGGCCTGAGGTGGTCCAGCGAGGACTGGACTATTGCAGCTGTTGTTATGAACTCTCCATATAAGGTCTTGCTCTCCAGCAGGGCAGGGCAGGGCAGGGAACAGTGTAGGTGGTGGGGGAGAGAGGGAGGGAAAGACATAGAGAAAGAGAGTGAGAAACAGAGAGGGGGTGGCTGATGAGTGATAAAGAGGGGAAAGGCAGAATAAAGAACACTCAGCCGCCCACTGTTGCGAGCCATGATCTTGGCTGTCTGAGGGGAATGAAGCTCAGTCTGAGCCAGGGGAGGCTGGAAAACTACCACAGCACTGAACCCTAAAACTGGTCCTTAAGAAAGCACTGTAGGCCCAGCTACTGCAGGGTACCTCACAGAGGTTCTGTGACCCACTTCCACATGAAGGGGCCAGGGGACAATTCATGACCGTTAAGCTCAGCACTGGCACAGGCTCTGCCTGTGGGGCACCACATGGCAGGATGGGGGCTGATGCCACGTAGACACGAGCAGGTCAGAGCACTGAAACAAAAGGAGAATGCAGCCAACTTCTGCCCCTCTGCTCCAGGCAGCACAGATCATCAAGGAATTATCTCTTTCTTCTTTTATCCCTGCTAACAAAGCTCAACTGAGCTGACACCCTGCAACCTGACTAGTTTTTCTCAAAAGAAAGACTGTACTCTGTGGTAATTTGTCAGTGCTGAAGTTATTATCATATGAATAGGAAAGTATGCAATGCATGAGCCTTTCCCAACACATAACTATCATAAAACAGCCCCCAATATCAACATAATGAATATTCAGTCTGTTAAACACAATACAATAATAATGGCAAAATAACACAAAACACAGATACACACACATGAAATGAGGCAAATGAACTCTCTATTACATCTGGTAGCAATTGAGGGACAATATTTTTTTGTTCCTCTGCAGGTTAAATCTTGGATTATGTGTAAAATATTCAAATGCATGAGACAAAACAAAGCATTTGTACTTTTAGGTGATTTCATGTCAAAGCCATCCAAAAAAAGCAGATGCTTAACATCTCATTTCCCTGTCCTATCTCCTGATCTAGTTTGGGTGAGACTGCCAAGCATAACAGCAGTGTGGAGGGGAGAGGAGCGGCGAGAGAGGGGGGAGCTGGCTGGAACCTGAAGCATGTTCAGACGCAGAGATATTTCTGAGATTAGGAGGGAATCACACAGGGGGTGGCCAGTCATCTGATCTGATAATGAAGCAACGCTGAAAACAATGCATGTTAGTTAAAGCGGTGTTCTGTCTGGGACAAAATACACTCCTTTACTTTCCCTGTCTCGTCTACACTTTTGAAGCTTTTTTTAATGCCTCACAATGCAGCTAATGCCAATGTGATTTTGAGCCTTCTGCTGCTTATACACTCCTTGCACTTCTGTCTCTCTCTTTAGCCTTTGCAAAAGTCCTTTGCCCTGGGAGTGTGGCCGAAGGAAATGTTATACTCTTGCTACATACTACAAGATGTTGACACATCAAAGTTGTGTTCTTGCCTTTTTTGCCACTGGCAGTTGTCCAGCATGCACTGGAAAGCAATTCACCCCTTCTCCTCCACCACACAAGAGACTAAGCGACTTCCTATGAATGAAACCTAGAATGAAATATGTCTGAAAGAGAATAAGTGCTTTTAATGGACGGCCCCTCTGTGTGGGTGGTTCTTTTAGCAACAGTTAGTGTGAAGGGGCTAATTGATGTTTGTCAGTCCGCCTAAGAGCGGCTTCCAGAGGCAAACTTCCAGAGCAAACTGGGGCACATTCCTCTGGGATCTCTATGGCAGCTGCACAGAGTGACTCCAAAAGTCTGCTTCCCTCCCAACAGTCCGTCCTGCTTTCAGAATATGGACAGACTGTCTTGGTTACACAGTGCTCAGATCAGAAGTTGTGTCTCTGGGAAACTTTCTCTGAGTGCAGGCCTAGGTCTCCACTGTGAGCCGACATCCCGCTACCTTCAGAGAAAGAATGAGGCAGCCAATTATTAACCAGGACCCCAGGGTGGCTAGCAGCATTCATGCCTGTTGAGCTGGCAGAGGAACACGAGGACTACTGAAGCGTATTACCAACCACAGAGTGCATGTCTGTGTGCACTGAGATTAAAGGCAACCAGGCTTAAATGCATGTGTGCAACAGATGTCAAGGGTCATACAGAGTTTTTTTCACCAGTACTCAAAGATGTAGTGGAGTGTAAACCCACCTAGAGTCTGTTTACCAGTCTTTCTATTGCAGAATATTGTTTACTTAAGGCTGCCATAAACTGAAATTAAAGTGTGAGGATTAAACTATCCTATTTTAGAGTCCAATTTTCAGTGTCTTTTGACTAAATAAATAACATGTATATTCTCACGTACCCAGCTAGTCTAAAACAACAGCCCTGCAATAAATCCTACATTCAATGTTTTAATGTTCAGTTTTTGTTTAAACTGTTTTGATTCAACGTCATGGTCGGTCCAGGGGCCTGTTAATCTGTCCTGCATTATACTGTAAGGTGTTTTCAATATTTAGTCGATCACCGTTGATATAAGTTATAGTGTTTGCCAGTCTGTGTATTACAGTTAAAGTATTAAAGGACCTCTCACTTATATTATAACAACAGGGTCCAATTTGATGGGTTGTAATTACTTTATTTATTTGATGTTGTTTTTTACAGATTGTGCTTTAAAAAAAAGGGGGGAAATGTGCCAATCCAATATAACTGAACTGCACAGGTAGAATAATCTAGTCATTTTATGTAATAATATTTTGCAAAGCAGCTTAAGATACAAAATCGTACTTTTAAACATGTAAAGGTTTTGCAGTGTACCATTAATTACTATTAAATTATTAAAACAAGAAAGTAAAATAGTTTAACATATAATAATGTATGTTTGTTTGCCACAATATGATTCAGTGATTATACTTCACTCACCTTTACATCACTGCCTACATTTGCAAAGGTAGGTACATAGCTGCTGCCAGAGAGGAAAGCCTTTGCTTACACTATAGAGGCCTGTTTGTACAAAGCACACAAAACCTGTGGCTAAGGTGGTGGAAAAAACTGTATTCCCAGTCGAGAGAGCAGCAAGCTTAGGCATGGTTTGCTTCAAACAGTGAAGACAATAAGTTGGACAGGGTGCAATGGGGAAAAACAATGGAAGCCATTCAGCTGCAGAAGGTCAAAAGTATGGGTGTGACTGATTAAAGAAGGGTCGGTGTTCTACAAAAGCTAATATCGGCTTGGCTGTTCTCTGCATGAAAGAGAGGAAGTAATAAATAACGTTGGTTCTCTGGATAAGATACACTTTTCTAAACAGTGATGTCCATTCTTGTCATGAACTCAACAGTTTTTTTTTTCACCACAGGAATAATCCATCCAACTTTTTTTTCAGCTTAAGGAAGTTGATTCAACTGACCTGTTATGAATCCCTTGTGTTACTACACTTTCCTTTTCCTAAATAAACAAGTGACAATACTTTTTCCTTTTAGCAGCTCTGTGGAAAATGCTCCTGAGTCAACACAGAGCATCAGACTTCTCTATTAAAACTTAAGTTAATTCAGGTAAGGTGATAAAAAAAAAAACACAGAATGGGTCCAAAACAACTTTGTCCCAACCTTTGACAGCTCCTGTCCCGCATCACACTGCTTGCAGGGTTTACAGTTCCCAAACCGGTCCTTGTACTCCTGTTCTCTGCATTCTCTGGTCTCCTCGGCCCTCACAGGAATCTGAGAGGGACAGTCATTTGGTGAAAGTTAGAGATTCCTGCATTTCATCACCACTTTCATCCATAACAGAGAAAGCAGAGCGAATCCGGAGCTATGCATCATAATCTTTTATAATAGTTTAAGGGGATCAACCCCCGCCTTGGACTCCTCTTGAAAACAAGTCTGATACTGTTGGGTTGAGATTAGATGGAACTTTAATGAGCCCTGTGGGAAAACTGCATAGTTGCAGCCCCAGAATCAAGTTCAAAATCAAGTCAAAAGCAACAATACAGGGCTCACGAAAACCAGAAACTAGGACACAAATATCAAATACAATCAGCACAGTGCAGTGGATAAAGGTAAAATGATACTCGGCATTGTCAGTGTTACCAGTAAGTGTTTTACAGATCCCACTGTGTGAGCAGGTACCTGTTCAACACTGGCATGCAGTTCAAGTTCAAGTTCATGTGTGCAGTTTGTGCAAAAATGAAGAGTTTTGTAGCCTCCGCAGTTAACTTTAGTTACTTAAAGTAGGGTTTTGCTCAGTTGTCATGGAGAAGGTGTGAAATGCTGTTGAAAGCGTCAGAGAAAGCTAGTAAGTGGACCTCAAGTGAAGATTTTTTTTTGTTAAAGCACAATCCCCTCGGTCAAGAATGGACTTTAGCACTCAAATAAAACAGAGTAGAATATAATTAAATTAAATGGAGAAGAAGATGTTCTTATTCACTCAGTATGCTCCCCTTGTAAATGTTTACAAGACTACAACCGACAAGAAATACACACAATAAATCCTGGGTTAATGAAAAAGTAGAGAGCAAATCAGGAACACTACATTCTCTCACTTGCTTGTGTTCAAAGTTTTAAAAAAAATGGTTAAACACTTACCAGAGTTGAATGTATGACATGCAGAGCCAGTAGAAGTGAGAAGGTGCGTTGAAGCATCCAGACCATTTTGATCAGCCACTTGCCTGCAGCTGAAAAAAAACAGCAAAACACACAGTATGTAAGTGTGTTATTTTATTGCTGCCGCTCCATAAAATAATGATTTTTCAAGAAAAAAAAATATATATTTGGCTGGGTCAAATTTCCTCAAGTAAAACAATAAAACTGACACTCAGGTATTGGTTTGAATATTTAACTTGTAAACATCAATACAGCTATAATTATGAATTATTATACAATATGTATGTCATACAGTGTGGAACAAGCTCACATCTCCAACCTTAAAGCGACAACAGTTCCAGGGTAATAAAGGGCTTAAACGCCTGTGTGATCATCATCAAGCACACGCACACGCACACGCACACTGCAACACAGTTAATTGACGCTGGTTGATTAAAGTCCCATCAGCCGCTGCGGCAGTCCGCTGACAGCGTCCACAACGACACTGTACAGTTCTTATAGGAGCATTACATAGAAAGTATCACAATACTATCACCATGTCGACAACAACTATAAACCAATATAATATACCGACATTACCGTCCGTTCACTGCACTGTGGCGCTATAATAGTACGTTTAATATGCAGTTAAGGACTACAGGTTTGTTGTTATGCCTTGTGTTCTGATATGAAGTCTCCTGTTGTAAGCGCATTGTTTGAATGTTTTTTTTTTAAAGCTCTTCTTACCTGCTAAAAAGGAGCCTGTTGATCAAAGTGTTGGTTGTTAAAAGTCGAAAGCAGACCGGTGAGAGGTGTGGTGGTGTGTTTCCCGCACCGGTCTGCTCACCATGTCAGCGCTGCTGCCCCGGCCCAGCTCAACACAGCAGCGGCGGATCACCGAGGACAAACTGAGCGCCCAGATCAAAGGCGGAGAGAGAGAGGGAGAGAGGGAG